TCGATCTAGCTCTCCATGAAGAAAAGCATTCTTTACATCCATCTGCCACAAGTTCCAGTCTTTGTTGTCTGCAAGTGCAAGTAAGACTCGTACGGTTGTAAGTTTCGCCACTGGACTAAATGTTTCATCATAGTCTAATCCATACTGTTGAGAGAAACCACGAGCTACCAATCGCGCTTTATACCTCTCGATTGACCCATCTGGACGGCGCTTTATCTTGTAAACCCATTTGCAAGATATGGGTTTCACATCTTTTATCTTTGGTACAATATCCCAAGTTTGATTTTGCTGAAGTGCATCGATCTCTTCTTTCATAGCTGTCATCCACTCAGAACTCTTCGATGCTTCTTCGAACGTCTCAGGCTCCGTTGCTTCTTCAATTATGGCTGCATTGGCATATTTGGGATTTGGCCTTCGTATTCTTGTTGACCTTCGAAGTTGAGATTGTGGAATTGATTCTTCTGTTTCACTAGGCCCACCTTCTTCGTTTGGTTGTTGATACACGCCAGTTTGCCACGGATTCTGAGTCACTCTTTGTTCGACATCATCGCCATTTGGATCTTCTGATTCATCTGAACTTGTTTGAAGTTGAACATCATGCTCCCCCATCTTTTGTTGTAGTTTGTCTCCAAATTCTCTCGAATCTGGCAACACCTCCTTCTCTGAGGACCACCAAGAAGATGCTTCATCAAATACCACATTTCGTGACGTGTAGCATCTTCCACTAATTGGATCACAACATTTCCACCCCTTTCTCTGGCTGTCATATCCCACAAAGATACATCTAACAGCTTTCTTGTCAAATTTGCTCCGTAAATGATCAGGAACAAACACATAACATACACAGCCAAATACTCGAAAGTAGCTAACTGTAGGTTTTATGTTCCATAGTTTCTCAAAGGGTGAAACAAATCCTAACCTTGGTTGAGGAAGTCTGTTGATCACAAAGGCTGCAGTCCTCATTGCTTCAGCCCAAAACCTTCCAGATACGTTCTTTGCATGTAGCATACTTCGACAAATTTCTGCAAGATACCGGTTTTTCTTTCCGCTACACCATTCTGTTGTGGCGTGTTGGCACAAGTGTACTGATGACGTATTCGACATTCCCTTAGGTATTGAGAGAACTCGTTTGATCTATATTCTCCTCCGTTGTCTGTGCGCAAGCAACATATCTTCTTTCCCACTTCTCCTTCAGCTGAGTCTCTGAACTCTTTAAACTTTGAGAAAGTATCAGATTTTTCTTTCATAAAGAAAACCCACACATACCTGGAGAAGTCATCAATGAATGTTACCATGTACCGCATACCGCTAATTGACTGTTGCTTAACCGGTCCGAACACATCAGAGTGAACCAACTCCAAAGGTTCTTTTGCTTTAAACTTCGACTCGTCATATGGTAATTGGTGTGCTTTACCATACTGGCATCCCGCACAGACCGTGTCTGTTCTCACGTCTAGTTGAGGAAGCCCCTTAAGCATCGACTTTTTCACCATCACACTTAGCTTGGAATAGCTAACGTGACCTAACCGCATGTGCCATAGATCTGATGTCTCATTTTTCCTTGTCCTGTCCACATATGCAGACTCTGCTGACATTACGTAAATTGATTCCAAACGTCGTCCCTCCATTGTTGGTGTTTCTGTGATTTTGACGTCACGATAAACCTTCACGTCTTGGGGAGCAAATAAGACATAATGGCCTGATGATGTTAGTTGAGCCACAGATAGCAAATTTTTCTTCATTCCTGGGACATGATAAACATCTTGGAGTTGCACCTGGTTAGTATTATATCGAGGAGTAACTATTGTCTTACCGATGTGAGTTATCGGTAACCTTGAGTTGTCAGTTGTCACCACCACACGACCTCTGCAAAGATATTGATGGGGATGATGAATGATTTTGTGTTGCTGTGATTGAAGAAACCATGCGAATTTGAATTACCTATATAAAATTAGATTCTCCCATGGTTTGCCAGTTTTATTGTTCTTGATTTCATGCGTAAACAGGTTGTTTTTGTTTCAAACGTAATCCGTTGATACATAGCTGATTATTGTTGCAGAACAACTTAGTCGAAGCTTTTGGTAGCCAATTGAATGGGCCTATTAGAAAATTTGATCAACAATAATTGATAATATGAAGGCTGATTGTTATTAACCAAAGCAAAGTAAATCTAACACTAATATAGTAATAAACACAAGTTACAACATTTTTTATAATTTTTATTAATGATTATAATATATTTTCTATTCTATTATTAGATTTTTTAATATAATATTGCTGGTTTTCCCAATATTTGATCTTACATATAATATATATATATATATATATATATATATATATATATATATTAAAATATTGAATTTGACCCTTCAAGAGATGTGCATAATAAATTATTAAATTTGATTATCCCAGAGATTATTAATTGGTGAAGTAGTTAATGTTACTCATATTGTCTCACATTGTGTGGATTCGAATCTCGATATTTGTATTATAAATATAATACTTCTCTACTTAATAAAAAAATTGATTGCCTCAAAAAATATGCATATTACTTTAGAATTTGAAAATCAATTAAATATTATTTATTAAAAACAATTAATAACCATTTTCTTTTTTCATTTTTATTTTAAAATACAAAAAAAAATTATGTATTTTTTCTTTTTTGGTTGTTCATTTTCTTTGAATGGTTGATATTTTTTGAGTTGACGACTTCAATAAAATTATGAAGTGTTTCATTTCGGTTGAAGATAAATTTTTTAAATCTATATTTTAATTAAATAAATATTTATGATTTTATTTTAAATATATATTTATTATGTGAGTTCATGAATTTTAATCTTTTTAAAAGAATTCACACACACGCACATGTACGCGCGCATATACACTCCTCCTATGTCTCTTGTTGTTGAGGTTGAAATTCTAGCTCCTCACTTAATCCTTCGACCGTTTGATTGTTTCCACCGATAGCTTCTGCCTAACAGGACCATGAACAGTTTCAGACGATATATCTGATAATTCTTTCTCCTCGATTTTAAAAAGAAATATTGTATCTCCTACCACCATATAAATCAGCCTTCTCGGATTTTTTAACTTAATGATAAACATACAAGCAAAGTAAATTAAATTAACTATTAATTAATTGATAGGATGATATGTTTTATTTCTTAATCAACAGGAACACTATTATAGTTTCATCATCTGCATGGGGGTCTTAAGCAGACCTTTGCTGCTGTTGTTGAACAATCAACAAGAAATAATTACCAACAAAATCTGACGATGAAAGCAAGTCCCCGATAATCCCAATTTCTTGAAATTCACACCATTCTCCCAGGCCCAAGGTTTGGGGATCTTCACACTTATGTCGTCTCCCAACGATGATAAGCTGGTAGTCTTCCACAATGGATCTCAGGAAATTTGAAGTTTCAGGTCCATCTGTTACTTGTTCCTCAATGTACGTTAATTTTACACTTTCTTTGATACCACTCAACATCTCATCATCAAGCATTCGATCATTCTCACCCCGGATGGTTTCTTCTAAACTGTTCTTGGCTTTGAGATGAATTACGGTAAGGCTAACACTTTGGTCTTGGGAAATGCGTTTAGCTAACGCTAGAGCCTCTCTATCATCTCGTCCCCCCATGAAGATCACAGCAATGTTGTAGGATGAGGAGTGATGTGATGATGCTGATGATTTATCTGTGACATTCAAGCTTTTTGGATTGCGGCGTACATCAACGAGGATCCCTACCGAGCAAGGTGCCATTTCAAGGATGTCGAAATTCAGATTTCTGATGGTTTGATCTTCTGATTCGATGCTCCCGTCGATGCACCACCTCCGGTGAAACGGAAGTATTATAAACGATGTGAGCCGGTCCACAGCGAGCTTACATATATCCTCGTACATCAAATTCGGTGGCGAGACCGCCGTGAAAACTTTCACTGATACAGCTTCCCGAGTGTTTCGCTGGAACTGATTGAAAGCGATGATGACATTCTCGGAGTACGATCGGTTCGACATGGTTTTCGTTGGCTTGTCATGAGCAATGAAAACCGGTGTGGCTCGTCCACTGAGCTTGACAAGGTGAAGAGCATCCAAAGAAATGGAGCTGTCTCTGGTTGGACAACAGGCATGCAGGAGGCTAATAATAGAATTAACATTGCCCGGCACGTGAATGCAACCGATCATCCGCAGCTCCTGGTTGAGTTTGGTATTCATGATGGTCCTTTTCTGAAAGCATAAATACTTCCTAGATGGATCATAAAGCCATTTCACTAGTATTGGCACAATGCTTGACATGAGAATGACCATAATCGTCAAGTAACAAAACAAATCATCCGATATCATCTGCGATTGTTCAAAGAGAGAACAAAACAATAAAGCATTAGACATATCTTTTTATACATAATGTCAAAATCAACCCTCAACATCCAAATGGTAACTTTAGCCCTTCTAATTAGGATTTTCACATATATTAAATTACCGATATGTCATATGTCATAGTATTACTTAAGTGACGTTGACCATTAAAGTGTTTAAAGAAAAAAGTAAAGATTAAAATGATTATTCGGGTAAACGTTAAGAGTTAATTTTGACATTATACCAGTATAATCATAGCATTTACGGAAGAAGATACATACGTTGTGGTCGCTCATTATGCTGTAGGAAGCTATCTCAACGACGCCTTTGGATATCATTATAAGAGAAAATGCTAACGAATCTCTCATGTGCATCTTGCATATCATGGCCAGTACCAAAGTGACCCAAAATTTGATGACAAGTGCGACCGCGCCTGCAATTGCATGGTCCTTGGCGAGCTTGGTAGGTTCTTTAATGTTAGATATATTAAACCTCATGCCGCATGTGGCAACGAACACAGGCAAAAACAAGTCCGAAGTAATAGGGTCTAACTTCTCCACCAGAGCAGAACCCAAAGGGGGTCCATCCGGCACAGCCAAACCAAGAATAATCGGACCATATTTAGCTTGTAAACTAACTAGATCGGCAAGCCCAGGCGACATCATGAAGGCCAAAACCACGACATAGAAGCATACATCTTTTATATGGCCAGTCTCGGGCGTGTGTTTCACCATCCAATTCAACCCAGGTCGCAGCACGAACACTGCAATTACAATGAAAAGCATAGCCCATCCAATATCAACTAGAACCTGGTTTGTTCCTTTTTCAATCCCTATTCTCATCCACGTGCCAAACAACGTAAGAACTAGTGTCACCATGTCACCTATAAGAGCAGCCGATAATCCTAGTCTACCGAGTTCCGAATTTAGGATTCTTAACTCGCTGAGAAGGTAGTGTATGACCGGGAACGAAGTCCCGGCATAAGTCGTCGCCAGATAGAAAGATCTGTTCGTAATCAAATGGCTGCCGCCTCCGAGAAGGATCGTAATAGTTATCAAACAAGATGCCAGAGGCACAAGCACGGTGAGGATACCGATATACATGGCCTTCATCCCGGAATTGAATGTCGAGCTGACGTCCATCTTCACACCACTTAAAAACAAAAAGAACAGTATGCCGAGGCCTCCCACCGACCCCAAAACTGAAACACTATCCTCCGATACGTTAACCAAAGAAAATTGATTACCAAAAAACGTAGGACCGAGTATTATCCCCGCCTGCATTAAGAAAATTTTCCGATTGCAGACGACCCTTTCATTAGTATTTGCTCAAAATCAGAAAAAAATAAACACATTTTTTTACCGTACGAGAGCTTGAACTTACAAGAATTTGGGAAATGAACAATGGAAGTCCCAGGTTTTTGAGCAGACTGTGAATTATCTGCGTGAGAACGAAGATCACAACCACCTGGAGTTGAAGTCTGGGCGCAGAATAATCCAAGAGCGTTCGATGTCTATATTTTCCAAGAAACAATGCAGGTAAGCCTGGAGAGACGACTTTGGGAGGAAATACAAGACAAATGTCTGCCGTTTTTTTTATTTGATCCATTCCAGTGCCGAAGTAGGTTACATTAAGAAGTGACATGGTTTCCTGCAAGCTGCAAAGATATTAATTGAAGGGGACGATGAATGATTTTGTGTTGTTGTGATAGAAGAAACCTAGCGAATTGGAATTTCTTATATAACATTAGGTTGTCCCATGGTTTTCCAGTTTAATTCTTTGATTTCAAGCGTAAACAAGTTGTTTTTGTTTCAAACGTAAACCATAGACGCATAGCCGATTATTGTTGCAGACAACTTCGTCGAAGCTTTTGGTTGCCCTATTAGTAAATTTATTCAACAATAATTGTTAAATGAAGGATGATAGTTATCAACTAAACAAAGTAAATTCAACGGCAAAATTAGGGAAATAATACAGGCGGGGAATTTTTTTTTGAAAAATGGGGTGGTTGAGAATTATTTTGGAATATAGGTCATTTAGTACCATGCACGTGAAACTCGACACATGAATGTGACGAGTTTGGAACTTGGCAAGTGGAGGTAACGAGTTTCATTCAATTTTGATCTATTTCATATGATGAGTTTTATTTTTTAATATATTTTATAGAACTCGTCAACTTCACTTGACGAGTTTCACATACACTGCTATTTCGCCTGCGTTATTTGCCTAATCTCGCCTAAATCCAACTTTACTATATACAACTATTTTTATAAATTTTAATAACAATAATATATTACTATTATATTATTAGATTTTTTAGTACAATAATTGATATTATGAATCAATTGATCGATTAATTCGAATCAGATATTGCATATATCGATTATGAGGACGACCCTCCCAAGTCTTAATCTTACATAAAGAATATGAAATCTCATTAACTTAGACCGATGAAGGTTGGTTTAGATCTCATAGGTTAAAAAATAGGCATAACGACAAAAAAATGTTTTTATTGTTTGACTAAATATTTACTTTTGGCTTCTATTTTTTGGGGTATTCTGCCTCTAATATTTCATTTTAGGGTAAAAAACCCTTCCGTTGATGGAAATCGTTTGTCAACAAATGAGCAACGCTTCAAAATAGGGGTCTTTTTGCCCTAAAGTGAAATGTTGGGAGCAAAATTATCCAAAATAAAAGAATAAGGGTTTAATAGAAGAAAAAAATAAACATGGCCAATTAGGTATTGGTCTATTTTGTAATCAATTAGGGTTTAATAGAAGAAATCTCAAGTATTGCATGCTGGATCAGCTGGATGTATCCCTTCAACATATCATACATTCAAAGCTTACATATAGTGTTCAAAAGGCAAAGTTAAATAATGTTGACTTGTCAAAATTGTTGGAGCCAAGAATTATATCATCATCACATCCACATGGGTTGACATCCATATTGCATTCATCAATGACCAATAATAGTTATGGTTATGGGTAAAGTTTAAGATATTTAAGATTTTGGGTAGAGTAAATTACAAGACATTGAACCATATTCAATTCATTATTTTAGTCATTGAATTTTTGGAAGTTATAAAGCAATCATTAAATTTTATCAAATTGTTACAAAATGATCGTTAAATAATAATTGTAAAATTTTGATAAACTTAATGATCATATTGTAATAGTTCAATAAAATTCAGTGGTCATTTTATAACAATTTAATAAATTTTAATGATCATTTTATAAAATTTAAAAGTTTAGCGATTAAAATTATTATTCTAACATAATTTGGTGATCTCTAATGTGCTTTAGTGTAATATTTTTTAATAAAATTTTCGTATAATTAAAGAAAATATTAAAAAATTTTAATTTAAAATAATACATAGATTTAATTTCGCAAAAAAAAATATAATAAATGGCAGAACCAAAGTGGAGTTGGAAAGGCCCATGAACTCCCAAAATTTTTAATTTAATAGTGATTTAAGTCATTATTTGTTTGACAGTGACCAAAAATGCCTTATAATATACGATTTTAACCAACTTTTTTTGGATTTGCCAAAATGACCAATAAAATTGCAATGCGAAATAAAAATCGCAACGTGATCTCCAGAATCGCAAATCAGTTCCTAGAATCGCATACGCGATTATGAAGAATCGCAATGCGACAGTACAAATTCGCATTGCGATTTTCCAGAATCGCATTGCGATTTTCCAGAATCGTAACGCGAATATGAAAATCGCAACGCGAACATATAAATCGCAACGCGATTCTGACTATCGCAACGAGTATCCGTAAAATCGTAACGCGTATCCGTAACTCGCAACGCAATACGTAAAATCGCAACGTGTATCCGTAAATCGCAACGAGAATACGTAAATCGCAACGCGTATCTGTAAATCGCAATGAGAATACGTAAATCGTAATGCGTATCCGTAAATCGCAACGACAATACATAAAATCGTAACGCTTATCCGTAAATCGCAACGCGGTTTTTAAAGCGCCATTAGAATCGCTACGCGTATTTTATTTTCAAATTCCAAACACGAATATTAATTATCGGAACACTGAACCGTCCACAGTATATCCCGTAATCGCAACTCATAACCTAAAACCTAAAATCACAACTCAGTCTCATCTCCATCTCTCACTCTCTACGGCGAAATCCGTCCCCATCTCCGGCGAAATCCCTCACAACCATTCACGGTCAGAAATCCCTCACAATCATTCAGAAATGGAAAATCAACCTCCGAGTGTTAGTTTTTTTAATTATTTTTATTTTGAAATTTTTGCATTATTTTAGGTTTTTCATATTGAAATTGATGATAAGTTTACTGGTAATTTCAATAATAGATTAACCATTTCACTTAGATTTCTTATTAAATTCATTCGATTGCTGCCAATACTGCTAAACTGTTTAGTCTTTAACCCTGTGAAGTTAGTATTTGTCTTTGTTTTATCTTTTGGTTGAAGTAATGCAATCCATTAAAGTTTTCAATTTGCAGAAGAAGAATAGTTTCTAAACTTAAAATCGCAACATGAAAATGAAAATCGCAACACGAAAATGACTATCGCAACGAGAGAAATGAAAATCGCAACGAGAGAATCGCAACGCGAAATGAAAATCGCAACGAGATAATCGCAACGCGAAACCAAAATCGCATTGCGATTTTTCATTTCGCGTTGGGATTCTCTCGTTGCGATTTTAATTTCGCGTTGCGATTCTCTTGTTGCGATTCTCTCGTTGCGATTTTCATTTCAACCAAAAGATAAAACAATGTTGCAAATTTTAGTTTCAAGAATAAACTACTACTCTTTATGTTTATTGTTTTTGGTATATCTTCACATTGTAGTTTTTGGTATATCTAACTTGGTATGTTTATTGTTTTTGTAGAAAAAAAATTCGGCTTCATTGACATTAAGGAATAAAGTTAGCCTAGCCACTACAATTGCTTCGAAGCTTTCACATGCACAAAGAAAATTGTTTGAGGAAACCTGCTTCGGGCCATGGCTGAGAGTACAGCATCCGGGTGGAGATGCTAATTTGAACCATTTGTGGCTTCAGACCATGACTAGCGATCTACCCGACAGTATACAACGTGGTGAGGAAGAGATATGGTTTCATTTTCAACCGGCGTATACTTGTTTTGGGCGGAAGGAGTTCTGCTTAATCTCTGGTCTACGATTCGGACACAATGATGTAGGCCGGTACACTCGTCATATCACCCGCCCATCATGGTTATCCCGGGTTTTTCCTGATGAGTCAATAGAGAAGCCGAACTTACACGTCGACGACCTGAAGAAATTGTTTAATAAGAAAGATTGTTTTACTCGGATGAATGGCGTCGATGTTGTCCGAGTATGCCTTCTAGTACTTTTGTATGCCGGCTTTTTAGGCAGAGAGGCCAGATAACCTATTCCTCAGGAGCTAATATTATTGGTAGAGGACCTAAATGCATGGAATCTGTTTCCGTGGGGTTCATATATATGGAAAGCTACCTGAACTAAGTTGTCGTCTGCCTTTGATGACCGCAAAAGTTTACGTGGCGATGGGTCGAAATACACTTTGTCAGGCTTTGTTTGGGCCTTTAAGGTAAGAATTTCTATATAATGTTTTCAAAATTATAATCAATTATTTAACAATTACTAATGTTTGTTATTATATTGTTTGTAGATTTGAATATTCGAGGCTTTCCCCAGCATGCGAACATATGCATTAAAAACTTCAAATGATATTCCTAGGGCTATTTCCTGGAAGAGGAAACGTCTGTTGGATTGGGAAGACTTAATACCATATGCGACAATAAATAATGTAAGTTAACACAAATACTATCATATATAAACAAGTTATTAATAGTAGACGTTTAACTTTGTTTGAGTTTTTATATTTTTAGGAGGCCAACACTCCATTACAGAGACTGACACCCACGGAGGCTGAGCTTGCCACTGATTGGTGGCAAGCTAGTCAGCATTTTTTTGATGGCAAGAATAATGAGCAACCTCCACTTCCTCCACTTCGAGAGCCATCACCTCACCCAGAGCCATCACCTGATCGACCCGACTATACACCTCTACAACGAGAGCCATCACCTATCCCGTCACATCATCGAGCCTCTTCTCCACTATCACCTCATGATAGGCGACCGACAAAGATGCCACAACTTCTATCTCCCTGTTCTCCACCTCCACGGGATGAGTCAAGGGAGTTACGTGATGAGGTCAATGCCTTGCGTGAGGAGATCGGTACTCTATGCGATAACAATGGTGCATGGCGTGTGGAGGTGTCTACTTTACGTGGTGAGGTTGCCGCTCTACGTGAGATGGTAGTATCGTTGCAGATTGAGGTTCATACTCTACGCAACGAGGTAAGTTTAAGATTTTCCATATTTAACTTGATGATAAATTTACTCGTAATTTCACTTAGATTAACCATTTCACTTAGATTGCTTAGTAAATTTATTCGGTTGCTGCCAATACTGCTAAACTGTTTATTCTTTAACACTGTGAAGTTAGTATTTGTCTTTTGTTTTGTCTTTTGGTTGAAGTAAATTTATTCGGTTGCTGCCAATTCTGCTAAACTGTGTATTCTTTAACACTGTGAAGTTAGTATTTGTCTTTGTTTTGTCTTTTAGTTGAAAGTAAATTTGTTCGGT